GCATTACTAAATCACTCAGGAATGAAATAAGAACCGCTGACGCCATCACTGCTGCTTGTTTGTTAGGTTTCCATGGGACATTTCAGGCACAGTGTGTGCAGTTTCATTAAATGCTCAGAGATTTCTTCTGGGTTTTTTTGTTTTGTTACATATTTTTCTAATCCTACGCAAAAACTACGCAGAGAAAGTTCCATGGCCTTTGTGTCCTGTAGTTAACCACAGCCACACTATGGTCCTCAAGCTCATCCCTGCTGGCTGCCACTAGTGAATTATCACTGCAGATGGTGTCTGGCTGCTCTCAATGGCTCATCTGATGGCTCATTGGTAGTCCAATAAAGGCCAGAGGAATGCTCGTGCCCCCGAGTAGAAACACTAAGTGAATAATAAACAGCACAAAATCGAAAGTGTTCTCTGAATAGCGACAGAAGCGGCGATACCGGAGGCTGCCAGAGTCAGGGGGTCCGACCTTTGACACCAGCCATCCACCCTATTGTACATGCATGGGGACGCTATTGTGTTGCTGTGACACGTGGCCCATGAGGCCCACAACTGAATGCCACACAGCTGGTTAGTGAGCACACTTGCTTACAATGCCCAAACTAAAGGGGGATTTTTTTTTTTGGGGGGGGGGATAGGAAAAGGAGGGAAAGGTGGCTGGAGTTTTGCAAGAGCACACTTTTCTCTAATTAGTTCATACAGGCATAGTTTAAGCTCTGCAGGCTGAACACCTACTTTGATTACCCCCCACTGTAGGAAGCATGCATCTACTAGCTAATGCATTCAGCTTCCAGTAAACTGCTGATATTGTGCAAAAAGTAATAATAAGGGGGAAAGAGTGTGTGGACTTGTGATCGCTTCCATATGGAGGTTTACATCATGCATTCTGTAGCAAGAATATCTGACCCTTTTGTACATACTGTGATTAAAAAGGCAGAGAGAACCACAGTTCAGTCCTGGGATCATAGTTTGTCAGAATTCGCAAACAATGAACACAAAGTACTTGACCACACCCATTCACTGGAACAGTGCGACACTGCCGGGATTGGACCTCCCAGCCTCTCCAACATGTAACTGTGGAAGCCTGCTGTTCACACACAACAGTAAACCTTTATTCTGCAAGGTATTACTTCAAATGCATACTTAAAATTACACGGCAAATCTTGTACAAAAGAAACTCGTTTAATGCAGTGGTGGAGCCTGCAGACTAATATATCTATGCCTCATGGCAAACAGGAAAACAGTGACTTGCATTCGTTTTATGCAACTTGCATCAGAACATGCAGCTGTCTGCTCTGCTTTTAAACTCCATCTAAGACTGTGCCATCATGAGCACCGAATACAGCTTTCACTTTCATTTAGACACACGTGTTGCAAACAGAAAATCAAGAGCACAGAGCTCTGCATTTCCCAAACTTCTGCGATATATATCTGTATATCAAATGACTGAGTTTCATACAGAAATATTATCACAGAGGAAACAACAGATTATAGAAAAAGAATGTGAGAAAATGAGTTTCTCTCTTCGAAAGCAGGTGGGGGAAGAGATGAGATGCAGTTAGGAAACGTTTAGGAGGATGATCCATCTGTATTCTGCAGTCTGTGCCGAGGGCAAATGTGAACGTTAATGAGTTCTACCCGAAGAGAGAGGCTCTAAGGCTCCAAGCAGCAATCTGCAGCACACTGCATCACATCCTGAAATCTCTGGAATGCCTGTGAGCCACAATGTCTTGAGACTGAGTGAGAATGAGGCATTATTGACAAAGGACCTCTGTGCTTGCAGAGATAGAGATAGCCTTCAATTGCAAAAAGAACACATAACTCATTTTTCCCAACTTAGCATGCATTGCATGCAGGGGCATTTTTTAAATATTGTTTATATGCATTGCAACTGTGTAACATTAGAAGTAAAGTATAGACACCCACCAACTGATCAATCACAAGAGCGCTGTTTAAAGGAGCAAATCTCTTGTGTGACTGTTACTTGTTCCAATTCAGTTAAGGCCAGCACATGCGTGCTGGTGGACATGGCAACTTTCCATGTTCAGTGTCTCAATGATCTTGGTATAACTGCAGACATGCAAGGCAGACCCCCTGGACATTAAGGAGTGATTTGCCAGCTACTTCTCTACTGGACATGGCACTAATTCACTCCCTTACTGCTTCAATAAGGACATGATTAATTTGCAAAACAGATTTTTGCAAATTCATTAGATGCATTAAAGCCAACAGCAATGACACATTTCAAACAAAAAAAAACCTTAAACAAAATCTTGTACTTTCTAGTAGAAATCCAAAACTCCATCTTTTCCAGGAGGATTCCTATCATGCTTTATTCCAAGGACTAACATATAAATAACAATGGTTACTGTTCACATTTGAACTGATGTGGAACCTGGAAATCAGTACTACGCTAATGTCATCTTAAACGCTAGCCTTGGCTACCTGGATCAGACAAAGATGATGATGATGCTCCTTACTTGCATCATCTCTGTCCATCCACGTTGCTGGCTGAAGATGACGGGTCGCTAATGGATGCAGACATGCAGGGCTAGTAGCCGTAGATCTGAGGCTGTTAAATATTGTGCACTCTTCAGCCTTGAGAAAAGTCTTGCTCTAAACCAGGTGCTTCCTCAGATTAGAAGTATTTCAGACACTCGCCTTGCACTTTGCATCACAAAGATTGCAACGAGCGTAATCTGCACCCCGTATTAGAGCAATTTCTAATCAGTTATGCTTGTTTTCTTTATTATAACAGCAGCTTCTTTCGCTATCAGGTTTTTTTGCAGGCAGAGCCGTGGTCTAAATGATGCCCTTAGGTACCAGAACTTGGTATGGTTGAATTCTATGTGAATCAGTGCTCGGCAGTACCAAAAGAATTCAGACATCATTACGACATATGCACAAGAAAAACTGGGTTGTATGCATTTTGATCGGTTTAAATGAGACACACAGTGAAGGAATTAGAAGATTGCCACAAATAAAGCATAACAGAAGACTACAGTCCTAATGATTATCAAGGGAGTTTACAGACCAGAAAGAGTTAAAGCTTTTAGTTTGGGTGCATTTAATAAACAGGGAACATTTTCTAGTGTATGACTGATAAAGGAAATTGATAGTTTCCAATCTCAGAGTAATAGTGTAAGGTATGTGTTCTGTTTAATTTAAAAATCAGAGACAAATTTACCTATGAACCATATTTATAAACAACAGGCTGTTACCAAAGTGCTGAGCAAAATTCAATTTAAATCAAAGGTAATTGGGGACATTGTGTGTGGAGTTTAAAAATGAAATAATTTTGAAAGCTAAATAAAAACAAACTAAAGCATAATTAATGCATAACGCGTTGATAGAACAACATTTAACTGTGCACTTCATTCTTTTGGCCTTTACTTAAACTGGCAAAGAAAATTTAAAAGACAGCCAGAGGATTAACCCTCAGCAGTTTAAGACGTGAAGGGGTCCTAATAATAAATTCAAGTTGTTGCTCTGATCACTGACACTATAATGGAACAAACAAATGCAGAGACGCTGCAAAGTAGCTGCTGCAGGGTTTTTGCAGGGAGGTAATGTTAACTTCACCAGATTTGTTTTTACAGCAGCACAGTGCAAATAATCCTTCATTCCTGCCCGTTGATTAGCGCATCTCGGGAACTGTACTGTGTGTGGATTTTAACAATGAAATAAATAGGATGTTTGACGATATATGCATACATGAATAAATGCTAAGCACTTTTCCGTTATTTGTTCTTTGTTTAAATGAAATCTATGAGTTCTATGCATGTCTATAGTAAAAACACATGGGCAAGATTGTTCTCAGCGGAAAAGAAAGGATTCCACCAGAAAAAGCATGGATTAGTAAATCTGGAATTCAAAGCTTTGATTTGTAATTGGTATTTTAAATAGTGCTGCAGCTAAAAGCCATTTGAAATAGAAGCAACAGCACTGCAAGCTGGTGGTTATTATGATTGTCATGCAACTAAGCTGGACAAAAAAAAACACCAAGAGGGTCAGTGTTGCACAATCTCTCAATCTGTTTGTGTATTCACTTTGACAGAGTGGCCACAAGAGGTAATAACAACTGCCCTGTGCTCAATCATTTTCAAAATAAACAATTAAAAGAGAAAAGGGCTGGTTATTTACTTAATATCAAGATTGCTGTAATCGCCAAGAGCTCATTCGACAAGATAAATGTCCTAAAAGTTACTTTCTGCGCCGACAAACAACTGCTCGTTAGCAGAAGGGAGGAGATTGGAAGACAAAACAGCAGATTCCTGAGTGTCTAGTAAAAAAAAGGAAGAATCTCCATAACCAGACGTGCATTCATTGCAAACATTTTAAAATAACTGCTTGTATCAACCTGCAGATGTGTTTGTTTTGTTCACGCGAAGAAATTTGTGGAATCATTTCAAACAGTTGTGGTGCATTCTAGAAAGAAAATCTATATGCACAAAGCATACAGAAAGTATGCGAAAAGTCTGGATTGACAACAACAGTAGGAGCAACATGCTAGCCTAAAGTTTGCGCGTAACGGCATTATTGAAGTACAAAGTCGATAAAGCTATATTAAAATCTCAAACCCCTTAAACTCCGCGTTATAAACTGATTTTAACAAAAGAAAACACACCTGAGCTCCGTCTGCCTGTGCTTAGCAACTCGCGGGTGAACAATAAACTGTCAGGCTACATGTAGATGTTAGCTAGCTGCTCCCTGTTATGTCGCTTCTCTTCTCCCCTCTGCTGCCTTTATCCTTTGCATAGCATCCCCCTTTCGCTCTAGACACTAATAAACTACTGAGGTTATAATAACAACACAAATTTAGCAGCTCCTCTCCAAAAAAAGTTACAACTTCACAGTTGCAAATGCATTAACCTGCACACTATTTGACAGGAAGTCGATTTCTGAAGGGGTGCGCGAGCTCTCCCATAGAGCTGCAACGCGGTTCCCTATTTGGCAAAGCGAGCTGCTGCTGGGGAAGAGTCTGCTCAACAAATCCAACATACCTGCTCGGCTTGTTGCGATCTGGAGGCTCCATAGCAAACAAGTGGCTTCTTGCTCCTAGCCGTGCATGAGCCACACCATCTCTAATTTGTATCTGATACACTTTGCACCGATTGATCTTTGCACTAAAGATGGATCTCGGTCTCTTTAAATCACTTTCTATCCGCCGGCACAGTGGACTCTCGCTTGTGCGTATGCTGTCGCCATCTTTCCAACGTTCATTGAGGAGGAGCGCCACAGCCTTTCACGACTACGGCAACTCGGATAGGTCATCTCTGCTGTCATATGAACTGAGAATGGGACGTGTTATTATCGTCAGAGTGGAGTCACAATGAATCAGTTGTCATAAAAAAATATATTTAGACTATTTTATATGAGTTTGCGTACAAAACAAATCATTTGAATCTTTTGATCATGTTATTGCTTTGCTATATTTTATTATTTGTAAAAATACTACATAAAAATATTACTATTAAGCAGTAGTAGTATTTTTATGCTGCATAAATAAACAAAATCAACCTGCAGTTGATTTTTTTCCCATTTTGAAAGGTAAATAAAAACAAACTAAAGCATAATTAATGCATAATCTGTCGATAGAACATTTAACTGTGCACTTCACCCTTAGCAAAAAGTACTTTATTCAAGTATACTAAAAGTGCACTAGTTTCATACTTAAAATCAGGCAGTGCACTTAGAGTTTATATATATATATATATATATATATATATATATATATATATATATACTTAACAATAGTATAGTCAAGTGTACTTGACTTACACTGAGAAGTATAAAAAGTGTTTACTAAAGTATACTTTAAGTATACTTTAGTAAACTTAAAAATGCCCCAATTTAGTATACATCAAGTATACTACTTTTTGCTAAGGGCAATTCATTTGGCCTTTACTTAAACTGGCAAAGAATTTTTAAAAGAAAGCCTCAGCAGTTTAAGAGGTGAAGGGGTCCAAATAATAAATTCAAGTTGTTGCTTTGATCACTGACACTATAATGGAACAAACAAATGCATCATGCTCATTGTGAAATTGTGGAGTCACCATTTACTTTTTCTAGCAGGACAAAAAAAAGTTACTCACACTTGATGACCAAATAGATAAAGCAAACTGCAGGTCAGTCTTGAAAGGCAATGTTTAATAGAGATGAAATTAAAGTGCAGGGTTAACTTCCAGGAATTCCTGGATTATATATGTCAAAGCGCACATGTCATACGATGGGGGCATGTTCATAACTTACACAAGGACAACTCTGGGTAAATAAAGGGGGCCTTAACATGCCATGAAAAAAAACAATTATAAAGTCATCCCAACAGAGCAAAATCCATATGTTGCACACATACAAATGTTTGCTGGGTTAATTATTCCAATATATTTGTGTTATTAATTGCACTACCTCTGTATCCCCCTGCTTATGCGCAACAAAGCAAGGCTGTTACTTCACCTGCCTAATGATACTACAAATAAATAAAGGCCACTTTGGTTAATTTCTCAGAATGGTGAATATAAAAACCTTTTAATGTCCCCTTTAGGGGGAATTGAGGTATATCATCATTGTTTAAATCACGCAGATTAACAAAACTGTAAAAATATTTATGAAAAGCAAACTAAGATTGTACAGTAAGAGCAAATTTAGAACATATGAAAATAATATTGCATTATTATTATAAAATATCATATTTAGACTTAAAAAATTGCAACTTAGAAAGATAATCTAAAATATATATATATATACAATATGAGCATGTATATTTGTGCATAGTAAAGAACCAAAAGGTTAATAATTTGGTGCAACACAGGCAGAGTTTATCCTACAACCGGAGGGCTGTGGGTTCAAGCTCCGTCTCCGGGTTTTCAATGTCATTGTGTCCTCGGGTCAGACACATCATCATCACTGATGGTGGTCAGAGGGCCTGTTGGCACCAGTGTACGGCAGCCTCAATTCTGTCAGTGAGCCCCAGGGCAGCTGTGGCTACAATGTGGCTTGCCACCATTTGTGTGTGAGTGTGTGCGTGAATGGGTGAAAAGCATTATATAGGCACAGGCCATTTACAATTATTAACATGAAATTGGAACAAAAAGGACAAATAACACACAGGGAAGCAAGTACTTAGAAGTAGTTATTGTTATAAAGTTTAACACCTGTTGGTTGAAAGGATCTGCAGCAATGCTCCTTTGTGCACCTAGAGTGCACAGTATGTTACTGATGGAGCTCTCCAGCTTTGCAACAGTTTAACGCTTTGAGTGGGAAACATTGTCCAACTGAGATTTTATTTTTCCCAAAATCCTCTGTCTCTCACCACTGGCTCTGTACTGATTGGACATCCTGGGATAAAGCTAGTCTCTCTGTTGGCTTTCATATCCACCTCCTTTCAGCTGTAGGCAAGCCGGTTTTGTTGCTCCAATTCACTCAGTCCTATGTCCACTCTTTGTACTCTAAGTCATCCTCACCTGTGAAGAGGAAATGCTTTTTTGTAATAATCAGACAATATTTGTAGAGGGCATCCTGGTGAGTTTAGGGAGAGGTCTGCAGTGTAGAAGGTGAAACGAAATAGAACGAGAAATGCTTCATTGGTAGCCCCTGTACCACAGGCCAGCCTGTCAGAGGCACAGCCCTGTGTCCTTCACACACTGTAGTAAAGTAGGGAATTATCCACTGTCAGTGGTCCATTCCTGCTAGCTTAAGCCAGTCTCTTAGAAGTTTTTGACCTTTTGCTTATATTTGACAGTCAGTTATAGCTATAATCATTAATATGTATCATTTCGAATGTATTTTTGAAAGCTTCTTTCATGTTTGATGTAACCGAGTCAGGCTTGTTAGACACCTTGCTCATACACACCCTTAAAGCTCAGCCCACAAATGTTCTATGGAACTGAGCTCAGGGCTTTGTGTTGGCCACTCCTTTACATTGACATTGTTGTCCTTAACTCACCTTGACACTGATTTAAGGACTTTCTTATGGCTATTCTCCACTGACATAGAAGATCCAGCGGCAATACTTTAACTTCCTGCTTGTTATCTTGAGATGTTGCAACAAAATTCACCATGTTTTCCTTGTCTAGCCTTTTATCAAGTCCTGCAAGAACCCTGATGAACATACTACCGTCATTATAATAATTTAAGGATCACATTTTCATGCTTAAAGGCGTATTCTGTTGTCCAACACAAGAAAAGTAATTGTGGCTAAAAATTTCATTTTTTTCATTATTACATCAGAGAGCAGTTTTAAAAAAAACCTTTAAGCCCTATCTGAGAATACTTGAACTATGAGTTGGATTTCTACTTTACTATTTGTGTAACAGTTTCTTTCTTTCTCAGGTGGCCTTCAGCAAATGTCCAAACAGAGCATCATTATTAATTATGGCTAATGATGCTTTCCTACCAGATTTGCATCTTAACAAGGTATTTTACTTTTTTCTAGGCTTCAAATGCATATTCTTTACCATCACATGTTTATCTTTTGAACAAAGAATGTATCATTTTCCAGAACTGTATCATGGAGATTCCCATGCTGTTAATACTTGCAGGTGAACCTTGAACCCTTATGTATATGGAATTTGCCACCTAGAACAAACCAGATATTTACAAAGGATTGTGGTCTTCTTTTTTACTTTATCAGACAGGGTTGAGCTGTGATTTGTGTGGTGTCCTACGTGTTTTCTGCCCCACTTTTGTATTCTTTATATCTTTAAAATGTTGTTAAAAGATTACATAGCAAAATGCTGCACACAAAATAAAAAACGTCATATGAAACCATTCATACAAATATACAATAAGAGTATTTGATTCTCCAAGGAAAGCTGAATAATGCTACAATTCTTGAAGGTTTTCGTTTGTTTTTTTTAAAATCCTTTTCCCTGTTATAATATAAAATTATTTTGTTTCATATGCATTTGTCTTATTTAACTCATTCCCATGTTTATTAGAAAAGGATCTTTCCATCACTCATCATTTCACTTCTCAGACATAAAGAAGAGGTATAAGGGGGCACTAATTGTACATATAATGCAATTATATATTTATCATTAATTATGCATGTTTGTAACTGTTAAAGTTGCAATTGTGTCCTACCTACCATATGTTGTCCTGAAAACGATGTGAGCTCCATTGATAATTG